ATGCTCCTAGCATGGTATTTCTGCTCCTCATTAGAGCTGGACATTTGCAAAGCAGGTGATCTACTGTTTCCTGCTCGTTCTCATCTCTGCAGCTTCTACAGAAGTCGTTGTAGGCGATTCTCAGCCTTCTGGCGTGGGTACCAATTAAGAAATATGTCTTTATATAAGGTTCCAATTGGGGGTAAAATCCGGTCCTCGATCGACACCAATGTTGAACCCTCTCTGGCTTACTCGTCTGCAGCCTCGTTTCCGGGAATGTTGCTATGACCAGGGACCCAAACTAAATCTAGATCGAGTTGACGACTTACTGTATTTAACCGCGTCCTACACTCTTTGATTAGTTTCGACCTTGTTGTAAAAGACGCTAAGGCCTTAATGGCCGCCTGGCTATCTGAGAAAATAGCTACTCGCTCGCCGTGACGCAATCCACTACGTTCTAAGAGACGGCAGGCTTCGGCTATAACGAATACTTCTGCCTGGAAGACACTCGCGAAATCGGGCAGATGAATTGATCTTTTTACTCCCAGTGACTCCAGCTCCGCGTTCCATTTTGGAGCCATCGGTTTACGTATGATGTGTCCAGGTACAGATATCAAGTTCCCCATCCCAGTCGGCTCTTGACGGAAGAATGACCCCGAAAGGCCTGTGAAACTACCTTAGGTCGAATATAATCGATTGCCAGCCTCAACTTAGGTGGCAAACGGGAAATTATACTGCTATGTTCGATCGTTCTTTCTTTCCATATACCTAGTTCTCTAAGTCTTATAGCCGATAGCGATGCGGTGTGCCGTATATGAAGGTCTATAGGAAATAGGTTTGTAATAACATTTAGGGCATCAGTAGGGCAACTTCTCATTGCCCCTGTGGTCCCCATGCCTGCAGCTCTCTGAACTCTGCCTAGTTTCACTTGATTATATTGGTTCTTTAAGGCTGTCCACCATACCAAAGAACAGTAGCATAAGATCGGACGTACAACCGCTGTGTACATCCAGAGTACAACTTTTGGATTGAGACCCCATGTCTTCCCAAAAAGCCGCTTACAGGATTAGAAGGCTATGCTCGCTTTCCTTTACTCTCTCTTCAATATTTATTTTCCAACTTAGCTTAGGATCCAGTATGACTCCCAGATACTTCGCTTGTTTAGATAATCGCAGCCTTTGTCCATTTAGCTTTGGTAATTCAAAGCTTCGGACATTATTTCTTGTCGTAAAGAGCATTAATTCTGTTTTCTCTGTGTTCAGAAGCAAGCAACTTTTAAGTTGAATCGCTTTCAGGTCTCTTGAAAAAAAATAAATTTTTGCTGTCCCGTTAGTTATAAGTTAATATGTAAATGCATATCTTGTAAAAAATTAAATATTGAAAACAAAAAAATCTGAACTATGTGACTTAGGGTCGGTTTTTCAATGCACAGTTGAATGTGGCTATGGTTTTAACTTAGTTTAAATGTTCGAGCTAGCTGGTTTAACATTAGCCAATCAAATGTCAGCTAACAGGTAAATATATGTACACGCACTGACCAACAGTTAGAAATTTTACAAAAAAAAAGCACACTCCTTACTAAGCACTCCAATTGCTTTTGTGTGGAGTCAAACCAAAATATTCAAAGCCAGATATGTTAGAAAGGGCTTCAAAATAATACGTTGGTTAAAGCCTTTTTCATTTGCATACTCATGCTAAATTATCCTCGAAAATTTCACTAAATCACGGAGTATTGAAAAAAGTGTATTTTTGTAAGTACACACTTATAATGCTTCGCAGGTATACATATGTATGTATGTATATGTATGTGTGCAAATATTTTGCAACTATTCCTGCATTTGTTCTTGTTATTGACAATTATATTTTAAAGCATTAAGAAATTTTAAAATTAACTTCTAAACACTGCAATAGAAATTTTACAAACTTATATGTACATCATATATGTATGTACTATGTGAATAATAACATCACATTTTTATAAATATGTGCATAGTTGTGTTTATGTTGTTTTAGCCACTTCAAATTACTTTGCATTATCCAAGCTCCTAAATAAAGGAAATTGTTCAAAAATGTGAGTCAATCGAGTATATTTAGTAGTTTGTAGAAACCACTTTTTGTTTTTATTAAAAGGTTAGGATGCATCTGCCCTGACGTCTTCGGGCAGAGCAGGTACAATGTTGCGAGTGATGGCAAGAATGTCAAAATGAAATGTTATAATCAGGGTTTGAATTGAAGTTTAGCCCACTGTATTTCCTTCTTGGGTTTGACTATCGCGCATGGATTCTAAATTTTGGGCACTAAAAATCTTTTAAATTGTTCCACAGTTAAACCTGCATCTACTGCGGTATACATAAGTGTTGGTGCCAACTGATTGACAGTGTATGTTCTTGTGGTGTGATTGTACCGTTGATTTTTGGCAATTTCTTTTTTCACGCAGCCTCTTCCATACAAAAAAATGTTTCTCGAAAATGCTTTATATAGAAAAAATGCAAAACTCCTTCAACAATAAAAATTCTCAAATATCAACGCGATTATTGACTAACTCCGAAATTGCATTTTTTTACTAGAATTTAATGAGCTGCAAACTCTGCAAGCTGCAAATTTGCTGAATTTTCGCGAGTTTTGCACAAAGTTTAGGAATTTTATTTTTATGTTTTTTGTTGTTGAATGAACGTAATTTTTATACAAAATTAGCGAAAAAATATTAGAATAAAAATTGTTGCATATATTGTGAAAAATAAGCTGTGCCAATACTTTGTTCCGGCGGTGTACATAATTTTATTTTCTCAATTCAATCATATTCCATGGGGAAATTACACCATTAATATTGTTATTATTATTATTTATAGTTTCACCATGATCATATTCGAATAATCAATAATACGATTTTTTAATGTTAGCAGAGGCATTATTTGTCGCCTTTCTACCATGAAGTTTTGAAACTGCTTTTTAAAAGGTTTATGTGATTGGAATTTCATAAAATATGGGTGCGTTTGAGCTAGTAATCTGTGCTGAAAGCAGGGTGAAAATGGCATGACTCTGCGACTGTGGTTGCAAGCTCAAAGGTATCCTAAATTTCCCATTACGTTTTATCCAAAATTTAACCAAACCAAGAATCTTCTTTAACACTTCCAACTTTATCGCACAAATTACTATTATTCCTATCGAAATAGTTCCTAATTGCTGAATCGCTTTCGTTTCATAAAGACGTGACGTCTTGGTGGAACAGTTCTTCCCGAAAGCGGATAAGAATTCGAAAAAGTAGCGATATCATCGGCGATGACTCTTACAGAAATGTCGTGTCGAATTAGTAACTTCCGCAATTGCTGACAGGGTAACTAAAGTGTGCTTTATAAAATAACTAAATGCCATGTAACTCCAAATGTGTAACCCTACCTTTCACAATTTTCAAAATTTACAGGTTTATCGCGTATAGTTTTTGAGCATTTCACTTTAAAAACTTTTTAAATATATATTGTATTCTACAAACAATTACGAATAATTTGATGCCTTAGTAATATTTAGATGTGCTTTCAGAATATCCCAACTTTTAATCCAGTATAGCAGTACTTGAAATTTTGCTTAACTTTTACCTATTTTTTAAATAAATCCATCAGTTTTGAAGTTATTTTACTAAAATTTTGCACGTGACCGTTTTTTAATATTCCTTATATGACATTAACTATTCCATAAAATCATCGAAATCGGTTCACTATAAAATGTAGCTGCCATACAACTGGTTGTTAAAAGACATTGTTTTGCGTTATAACTCCCCCAGTTAAGCAGGTAAGAAATTGAGTACTATTTTTATTCATCATGAATATGTTAACTTTGTCTTTATGATGAAGATAAGAGGCCAAACCAAATATCTGAATAATCAGTTGTATAGAAACTATTTGTTAAAGTGAGCCTATTTCGATGACTTTCAGAATTAGTTAAGGAAATATTAAAAAAATAGCCACGTGCAAAATTTTAATAAAATAACTTAAAACTGAGCGAGTTATTTATAAAATAGTTAAGATTTAACCAAATTTTCAAGTACCGTTATCTCGAAAACCGGAGCCAATCTGGTAAAACGGGGGATGGCATTGCATTTATCACGTCCCAATTAAGTGAGTTCAACTTTCAAAATCTTTGCTAAAATTTTCAATTTGCACAGCGTAATTTGAACTCAACTTATTTTTCTGTTTTTCTATTTCAGCGCTCTGCGTAAATGCTGCGCTCTGCCTTACTTTTGAAGCACTTGATGAAAATGAATTAGACTTAAATTTATCGATTTATTAAGAGCTTACGAATAGAATCATATATAAAACATAGGTGTGCCCACAAATAAAAAAAACGACTTTTTTGAAAGCGTACCTGTTTTTTTAGATTTGCCTATATCGTTAGCTCAACCCTGGAATGGTTTGCTGCTTCGAACGATGCAAAATAGTAAATTTATGAGCGCAATAAAAACCAGACATAATAAATTTTAAAATGTTCATATTATGAACGTAAATTTTTTAATTTTTTCTTGAAACTTTCACATCGGCTTGCAAATAAGCATAGCCTCCTTAAGTTCTTATCTCATCTCATTTCCAAGTCAAGCTTTATAAAAAGTCGGTATACATAAAATCCGTAAATAATCCGTAGTAAAACTAATAGCATTTTAAAAGCAATGCTCACGCAGTGAATTCGGCACAGTCTTCAATAAAAACTTTTTTCCAAAGAAAATCGCGGCTAAAGAACTTAAATGTTTACTCTGCGTTTTTGGTAATATGTATGTACATATGTATGTATGTATACAGAGTAGCAGAATTGTTAGATGTAGGCCTTTTATATTACGGTAACGATACGTATATAAGACTGTCACCCCTATTGCGAGTGTCGACTGGCAGTAGAATAGAAATTTGTCGATCGAGTCGATCATCTTTTATTTTGCTATTGTGTAACTTGATCGATAAAAATTTGTACTATTGTGAATGGTTGACAGAATTGTAAACAGCTGTTTGTTTGT